AAAAATATGTTGAGATAAACAAAAACATAAGACGTGACATTGGTAGAGCCCGCAGTACACATGGGCTGGACAATTTCATTGAATTTCCATATTTTTTTCATTGAAAACTATACAAGGTTCTTGCAGTTTCTATGTAAACAATCGCTGCTTTTCCGGGCATTTCTTTAAAAAGTGATGGTCAATACCCTATTTTTTGCTAAAAAATAATTCAGATCTAATTTTCCTATGAATTTTATTCCATTGAAATATTTTCCACTGATATCCCTCGGCTAGGATTATTTTAGTTAGGTTTTATAATTTGTCGCATGAGATTAGAAAAAAATGAAGTTAGAAAGACTCGGAAAGGTTCTGTGGAGGAACTTTTTCAAAAAATATCTTAGTATATAATTACATTGAAGGATCACGGCCATGGTTGTATTCCATGAAATAGTTCCTATCAACCATTTTCGAACCTCCGGAGGTTCTGAAACCTCCAATCATAATTTTCTTGTAAATTTCTTCATATTTATCTTTTTTGGAATTATATTGTTGTTGATTTTTCATAAAATTGGTGTTCTCATTGTGTGGGTGTGGAAGGTAAAATTGCAAGCTGGGAGTATCGTCCTCCCTCCCCCTTATAACAAGTAGAGTTTACTCTGATACCTGAGCTACCAGCCATTGTAATTCTGTTAAAATTGTTGAAAATTCTAAATCGAGAGGAGTCGATGCACTCTTGAAAAATAATCCATCGACTGGCGTCCAATATATTTAAGATTTCAATTAAAAATAATTCTATTCTTCATTCTAAATTTTTCCCCGAACGTCACAACTATCTTAATATTATTTTAATACATGGCGCCCAACAAATGTAATTTTCCATTTTAAGAAAAGAAAAAAAATTAAAACTTCAACTTTATGTGGCCTCCCGATAACTGGAAACGTCACAGAATATCTGAAATACTATTCAACCGATTTTTTTAATCGTTTTTTTACATCGCTTCGACCCGGTTGGGGTATGCTGCGATGATGATCGAGACTTTAAGGTTGTTGTCGTGTAACTTTTTTTTTCGACGGTTTTTTTAAAATTTTTATCGTAGGTCGCTCTAAAAATTAGCTGTAAAATAAGCCTATTATAATTGCAATTGACAATCTCAAACTTAAGATGATTTTTTTTTAATTTTACATGTTGCTAAATGCAGTTTCATCGTTTTTAATTTTTTTAAAAACAACCACTCGAAATTTTTATTTTAAAAAAATACAGTGTAGAAATAGTGTCAATGTACAGAAAAAAAATGAAATTGATTGACCATTTCACTTTCGAGAAATCATCATAGAAAGTTATTTTTTTTCCCCAATGGGCGGAGCAAGTGAGTTTAGTATGTGAGTCATGACAACAACGCAGCTTCGAGTCAGTGGCGCGGATGTATTTGAAATGGTCGGGTTATAATGAGTAGTTCAAAAATGCGGTAATTCAGTCCTTTTTTTTATTGACTATCTATAAACACTGTAATAATTAACAGACATGGAAAATAGTATAATAAAATAATAGATAGTCATGTGATATTTGACTCATGACTCTCAAAAAAAAAATTTTATCAATAAGTTTTTTAGTTTTCGTAACTCGGGGTTTGTTCATGTCATTTCGTTCTGATAATAATTGCATCAATCCTCTTTTTTATTTACTCGCTGTCAACAACACGTCAAATGAGATACCAGAGTTGGCAACTTTTTTTTAACATGTCAGATACATTGCTCTTTAAAACCATTAACGAAGGTAATAATATCAATGCTTTTTCTTTAGTAATTTCCGATACGATACACTCCAAGTACGACTTTTTTGCAAGGAATAATTGTTCCTTGGTTATTAATTTCTCTGACAATGTTTGTAAAACTTCAACATCAAATAGTGCTTCATGGAAATTACCACTAATTTCCAGAAAATCTTCTTCTAACTTGCCTAATTTCATCATGCCGGTACCTTTCCTTTCTAGGAACATTTTTTTAAATAGTGCTAAAGAGTCGGTGAACCGAACAGGTTAGGAGTAACACGAAGAGAGAGATACACTGCGCGTGGTTGCCACAACCGACACCATTCGGCGTTAGTTGTATGCGCACGTATTCATGTATAGTACATTCATGTATGCGTGAGCCCAGTCAAACTGTACATCAGCAACAGTTTTTGTTTTAAACCGGGTTCTTCGTTTAGCGGGATACCAGCCCAAAGCGTGGAAAATTTCAAGTGTGACTCTCTCGCGACAACAACCTTAAATGGTTAGATCTCACCATTCTAGCCGGCCGGGTTTTGAACTCGGAACCTTTCGTATGTGAGGAAACGAACTTACCCACTGCGCCAAGCCACCGCAAATACTCAACCGATTTCTTTGTTTTTTTCAAAATATTCATTTCCATGTTTTCTATCTCAATCAATGAAAATACGTATACCCGTTCCTACAAAGTTTCAGAGATATTTCCATTTTTCGTTTTTTTTTTAATCTGTAGAAATAAAAATGAGAAATAAAAAATAATTATGCATCGGATGAGTCATAAGAGCGACCGCTTCTAGACGATTTTCAGTAGAAATTTTATGGACACACCTGCATTTACACAAACCCTTGATTCTCACATTACATCATCGATCAGATAATATTCACTGGAAAACTGAATTGACGATTCTATTCTCGATAAACTTTCTATAATTCTATCTATAGTTATTCTTTCAACTATACTTTTAATCCTGAGACAATGAATTATTATTCTCCCTTTTTCCAATATGGAAAGAAATAGTAAAATGTTGCTTTTCTGGTCTCCATTTTTCAAACGAAAAGTAGATATTTCAATGCATTGTTATACATTCCACCAAGAGTGAAAACTTTTTTTTACTGATGTATAATGCTTTTATTTTCTGTTTTCTTTCAAACATACATTGAGCGTTGTATGGAAACGCTGAGCTGAATTTAGCTGCCTTTATTTCATATTATGTATACATGGATATCATGTGTATATGAAAACATGCACGCGGAAAAAGCCCATTTCAGTTGAGAACTTACACGTTTTTCGTTTCACAAAGGACGAGTAGTTTATATCCTTTTTTTTTCTTTATCGAAGAGTGTTCTCGGGAAAGTGCGTCACTTCAGTAAAAATATAAACCAAACCCTCGCGATCGAGCTATTCTTCCGTGAAAATGACTCCGACAAATTCCCCTCTGAGATATTGCACTGAAATTAGAGTCTAACATACTGCTTTGCATTCTTGACGTTTAATTGCGTGTACACCCGCAATTAATGTCTTCAAACCTCTATTTGATAATTATTGCATCTCTTTCGAAGGGAAAAGGTGAAACTGCTTGAGAGAAGGGATAGAGGTCTGTGTGTGGTACTAGAAAAATCGCAGATTGCATAGTAAACTTGACGCTGAAGTGTTCAATACACGAGGAGTAGGAACAATGGGGGATTTTGAGGGGTGACCGAAGAACACAACTATGAAGTATTCGTATTCGAGGGGAAGTGGTGCCTGTACCGTTAACCTAAGGAATAACGATAATTTTCGCATCCCAAACCATTTCGAATAAAAATTGTAGACGCATACCATTCTTTGGCTAATCAGCTAGATATTTAGAAAAAGAAACCTCTGACCCTAAAAATTCTGAAAAAAAACCGCTGTAGCTCAAATATTGGAGGCCTTCGACTATCTAAAATATTTCAAGCGTCTCCGGGGCAAACGAACTATAAACAATTAATTTTGTTCCACTAATTATTCGTTTTTAGACATATATAAGAGACCTGGAATGCATGAAAAATCTCACTCTAATAGCCCGCGACTTTTAAAACTCATAGTAGTCTCCCCTTAAAGTAGCTCTACCCCTATTGCAGAAAACGCGATTAGATTCGGAATTCTAATTTTTTTCTCAATTTAATTATCGATTTGGTTTTTCAAAGAAGAAATGTTTAAAAATCAGGATTTAACCCAGTGTCTTATGTGAAAATCAACATTTCCATTGTAATCAAAGATTAAAATCTGATTTTTTTTTCATTAGATGTGAAAAAATCAAGAATTTTTTTGACACCTCATAAAAAATCATCCACCGTTTTGCAAACAAGTTTTATTATTTATTTATAAGAGGGAAATGTTTGAAAAAATACTAATATTTTGCGAAATTTAATTTAGATAATACTGACTGGGTATGAATTTTTTCAAATTTTTTCCATGCAATTTAGTTGAAAAATTTAAAAACTGAAAATATCCAAAAGTACAGCGTAGCCCTGCTGAATATATTATTATTTACCACTAGGAGGCTACGCCCCCTGCTCCCTCCGCTCGCCAACCCCCATATGACCCCCATATGATCTCCATATGACCCCCATAATCCTTATTGTCACCCTTGCGACCCTTAATGTAACACTCTTGACCATTAATCTGACCCATATGGTGACCCTTATGACTCTTAATATGACCCTTAATATGACTCGTAATATGACCCTTATGATATTCTTAATCTGACCCATGTGAACCTTAATCTGATCCTTGTGACCCATATTCTGACGCTCGTAATCCTTATTTTAACCCGCGTGACTCTTATTTTAACCCTAATGACCCGGATTTTAAACCTTGTGACCCTTAATCTGACCCTTAATTTGATCCGTGTGACCTTTAATCTGACCCTTGTGACTCCAATTCTGACCATTCTCGTGGCCATTATTTGGACCCTCGAGACCCTTATGATCCTTAATTGTGCGTCTTAATTTCAAGTACGAAATTTTTATCACCAGAAGTCGATTTGGATTTTTATAATATAGAGAGATATTTTGGCGTAATATTTTTCACCGTAATGTTTAGATAGGATACCGCAGCATTTGATATTCAGTTCCGTGAAATCTAATCTTTCTGGCCTTCACGGACAACCAACGACATCTTACACTTCTCCTTGAAACCCCCTGAAACCCGAAAGAGGAGCTGTATCGATCTGATTGGTCGAAAGCTCACGAATGAGACTCTCCAATCCATCCACCAGGAGCACTGTTTACCACGTCAGTGCTCCAAAGATTCAGCAAAACGTATGCAGTCATTAAAAACCGGTGTAGCTAAGTCCTGAAAAACGAATTAAACCCACTCAGTGAATAAAAATAAACAAAAATGTCGGACCTCAGGGACTGGATAAACTCTCTACCGATATTCACACGCTACTGGCTACTCTCCACGATCGGTCTGTCACTGATTGGACGATTTGGAATATTATCACCGCACGTGTTGATTCTGTTGTACGATCGTTTCATTCATAACTTCGAAATTTGGCGTGCCATCACTAGTTTATTGTTCTATCCACTCAATCAAGCCACTGGATTTCACTTTATGATAAACTGCTATTTTCTCTATCGTTACTCACTCAAGTTAGAGACTGGAGAGTATCAGGGGAGACCAGCTGATTATGGATTCATGCTGTTGTTCAATTGGGTTTGTTGCGTTGTCATTGGACTCATTGGTAATGTACCATTGTTGATGGATCCCATGGTACTCAGTGTACTATATGTGTGGTGTCAGCTCAATCAGGATGTCATCGTCAATTTTTGGTTTGGTAACTATTAGATAGAAATTTTAATTTAAGAAGAAGATCAATTGACTTCTTGTTGCCTCCGAATGGAAGTATTGTAATCGTCCAATTTTCACATTTTCTAATTTTGGTTGGAAATTATGTAGAGTGGTCTGAAATGTAAAAATACGAAGTTTGGCGACCATGTCTGTATGTAAACATGTCCACCGCCACCTTTCCGGTTGTCAATTTTCAGACAACCGAGTAATTAAATGGTTAAAGTAATTCCAAAAAATCTGAAATTCTGTCTGATTATAGGTTTAATGAGAACTAACTCTGCAAAATTTCCGCCTGATCGATCTAATAGTTTTTGAGAAAAAACGATTCGTTTTCAAACCGTTTTCTATAAATATCTTAAAAACTAGTGGACCGATTTCAATTTTTACTTCTGAATGGAAGTATTGCAATGCTTCGATTTTCACATTCTCTAGTTTTGATTGGAAATGATGCAGAATGCTCTGAAATGTAAAAATTTGGCGAAGTTTGGCGATCATGTCTGTACGTGAGCATGTCCACCGCCACCTTCCCCGCTGTCAATTTCCAGAAAATTGAGTAATTAAGTGACTAAAGTGATGCCAAAAAATCTGAAATTTTGTTCAATTGTAGGTCTTAATGAGAACAACGTCTATGCAAAATTTTAGCTCGATTGATCTGATAGTTTTTGAGAGAAAAAAACGATTCGTTTTTAAATCGTTTTCTGTAAATATTTTCAAAACTAGTGGACTGATTTCAATTCATTTGTTTTCAAAATATTCGTTTCAATGCCTTCTATCTGAATCAGTTGAAACATCTGTATCCATTCATACAAAGTTTTCGAGATATTCCCCTTTTTCTGTTTTTTTTTTCATAAAAAAAACTTTGTAATCACTCTAACTTGTACAAAATTCGAGATATCAACTTGGCATTTGATAAAAATCTTTCTCTCATAATAACAACGGTTCGTATTGAAAATGGGTTCAATCGCATCAGTAGTTTCGGAGATATTCGACTTTTTCTGAAAATCTTTTATATGCAATATTTTCAAAACTACGCAACCGATTTAACTTCTTGTTTCGAAATATTCGTTTCGATGCCTTTTGTCTAAATCAATCAAAACATATACCCGTTTATACAAAATTTTCAAGATATTCCCGTTTTTCTGTTTTTTCATAAAAAAAAACTTCGTAATCACTCTAACTTGTACAAAAATCGAGATATCAACTTGAAATCTGGACAGAAAATATGTATACCCATTCGTACGAGTTACTCGAAACATTGGAATTTTTGTAGCATCCACAGAGGTGGCACTAAACATCTGAAATTTCTGCTGCTAGTTAGTGTTGTAAAGCTATAAACTTTTGTAATATTTTAGACCATTCAGAAGCCCGCCATCAATGTCATTAATATATTAATGGCGAAAAAAAAAATAAGACATCACTTAGTCACATGCTCACTGTCATATGCTCGCTACCCCCTACTTGTTGTCATCTTCAATATCTCGAGATCGTAGGAGCGGAATTCATATTTTTTCATCTTGAAGATATTTTTTGGTGGTTTGAAATGAGCATCGATTTATTGGAATTATATCACTGAGTCTCGAGAGAGTGATGATTCCAGGTCTATTTTATCCCTGTCCCCTTTCTTCTTTATCGCAATCAAATTTCAATTTTGACTCTGTAAAATTTATACATTAGATGTAGGATCATTTTTTAAGAATTCAATATTGTTAGACATAATACACACAAGTATGATCAATTTTAATGTACCGTCGTGAGAATTGTTTATGACACCCTAAAAAATTTCAGGGTGAAATTCATCCTGAAACTTTTCAGAAGTCAGGTGAGTTCTGAGAACTCACCTGACTTCTGAACAAGTTTTGCAATGGTATTTTCTTATAGAAAATGAACATAATAACACGTTTGAAAAAATTTCATAGAAAAAGGTAGTGAATTCGTTGGACACTTCTATTGGATTTCTATTGATCTTTCTATTATTTTTTGGTGACCAATATTTTTTGACAGTGATGTTACGTTCAGCGAGTGGTTGAACTGTGCCTTTTTCGTTTACAAGTAAACGAAAAGACTTTTGTCATCCAAGTCCCTGCAAAAAAATGGTCGTGACCATCATTTTAAATGGTAGATATCCCCACTTTTTCTAATTTAGCTCCCATTCAACATCCCTCGCCACTCAGATCCAAGACACATTCTTTCCTGGCAGCGATTATAAGCAGACAACCGCCGATGTCGTTTCCTTGCTCCATAACATTTTTTATTGAATTTCTATATGTCAGTAATAAGTGATATAATACACTCCATTAATATAGTTCCTTCTTATTATATCCAGGCACACAATTCAAAGCAATGTATCTTCCCTGGGTTCTCGTGGGATTCAACCTGATAATCTCAGGAGGTGGAATGCTAGAGTTGATCGGCATCCTAGTTGGACACCTGTACTTCTTCCTCAAGTTCAAATACCCTCAGGAGTACGATGGTCCCGAGCTCTTGAATACCCCTAAAATGCTAGAGCACTACTTCCCACCGCATCGAGTCAACATCCATGGGTTCAGCGCCAGTGCCCCTAGATCAGGGGCACAGTCTGCACCTGGCAGAAATATGTTTGGGGGGTACCAATGGGGGCAGGGCCAACCCCTGGGCCAATAAATCGACTGGTAGATTTTTCTTTTTCAATTTACGTTCGGTCATATTCTTCGGGAGGGATGAGTGTAATTTGTACGTTATTTTTGCTCCATGGGAATATGAGGATTACAATTGTAAATAACTGATATATCATAAGTAATCATTAATTTCATTGCATCATAAAGTTTTTCTTTTTTCTTTAAATTGTGAAGAGAGGTGCATTGAATGCTCTTGTTATTGAGACATCTAGCGAATCGTTCACTGTTCGAACAGATGAAATTCAAGCATAATTTCAGTAAAGAATTACGGGGATATTACTGAATTGGTGGAAAATACATCGTTCTTTGAAGGGGTATCTGGAAAACTGAAAGTCAACGGTGACTGAATGGACCTGTTGACTTCTCATATAACATGCAACATTAAAAAAAAAGCGAAACATGTAAAAGTCAATCCATTTTTCATAGTGGCATTTTGAAAATGCTCCATAGACCACAGTTTTCATCGGATTCAAACTTCTGTAGACTCCGGATTTATGACGAGAGTTAAATGTTTATAATAGGAAAGTTGGAGGATTAGGCTCTGATTTTTTGTACAAGTGATGGAATGATTTTAGGAATTTTGGTAAGTTCAGAGAAATGTTAGTGGGGAATTTTGCATTTTTTGTATGAATGAATATTTAGGCAGAGGCATAGTGTAAACACAATCATTTGAAATGCTCAAGTGTAACACTTCGGAGAATGAAATTGGGTATCCACTTTTTCCAATTTTGAATGGATGTTGAGAAAGCCAAGTCTTTCGGATGCCCTCTTTGCCCTCGGTTTTTCATAATGTCTAAAATGCGTTTATTTTGATTGATTGGAAGTTGTAATTGTCAGGTATTAAATGCCAGACATGTATACCCGTTTCACCAATACTTGAAAGAAGCCTTTTTAGACGTTATTAAAAAGCTCAGGAAAAACTGTTACTCAATTTTATTCTTTAGAGTCTAACGAATATTGAAGAGAAAGTCGAAATCGGATGAAAAGTGTGGTTCATATAGTATTTCTAGGGTAAAAACGAAAAATGAGATGTTACCATAAAAAGCGGGGCAAACTGGATTGAGTTACACATATTTATAGGTCCACTGAAAAAAAATGATTTTTGCCAAATATTCATTTACTTGAGGGAAGCATTAATTTTTTCAAAATTGAGTATTTCTCCAATCGAGTCATTACTAGGCGAGCCGGATTGTTTCAATTATAACAATCATGGTGCATATGACCTTAAATGAACTCCTCTAATAATTATTCATTTTCCCTAAATTTCTTATTTTCTAGAGGAAAGAATTTCAATTAATTTTTTAATGTTGATAATTATTGAAGTTCACTCATGGTCATAACTAACATGATCATCTTCTATAGAAATATAATTGACATAATTGAAAACTAATGAGGATGGCCTGGGAATGACTCGACTGGAGAAGTACAGTATTGAAAAAAAATATATTTCTCTGACGTAAATGGATATTTGACAAAAATAATTTTTTTTTGTGTCCATTTAGTCACAACAGACATTCAACTTTTAGGGCGGTTTCCCTTAACGAGAAAAAAGATCACGTTTCATTGATTTAAACATTTTTAAACATGAAAATTACAGTAAAATAATGATTTTTTCAAATGAATGTAAATTGGACGAGCACTGGACGTTTCACCCTAGTCTAGACAATTCTGGGTCATAATATTGGCTGAGTAAACTTTGTGTGGTCTTTTCGTGGGATTTTCAGTCATTCTATCGATAATAACGTCTTCGTGTTACTATTATTTATGAATAAATGAATTGTAAAGGAATAAACTCAGTTAAATTTTCCAACTATTCTCTATAAGCTGTGTTTTAAAATTAATTCCTTGGTGAATAAAGTTTTCTCGTGGAAGAATAAACAATGAATGATGGCGTGTTGGTGGTGATGAGATACTGCCTTCATAATTTATACCTACACTTTGACTATTTCCATAATTTATTTTTCTTAATCTACGCTTTTTATACAAGTTGAAATTGATTATTTTTCCATTACATTGTTCTTTCAACTTCTTTCTTTACTTGGGAGGATTCTCTTTTGGTTTTTCCGGAACTACATCCTCAGCAGTGGAGCTGTTTCGGAAATTCGGGAATTGCTCCCAAGGAGCTGACAATTCGAATCTGCGAAATTCTTGGGCCAATTCGAGGGGTTCGGCAACGACTCGTTTGACTTCGTCATCGTATCGTACCTGAAAACAATAATAACAAATATTGGAATTTAATTTTTAACTCCCGACGCAAAGGGAGGACAACGTTATTGTAATGATCCTGAAAATGAAATGTCGAATTTCGATGATTTATCCACGTTTCAGGACCTCTTGAGTCATCCTGAAATATTTTTGAAGACAACTGTTTATCTGTGTGTGTGTGCATGCGTATGTACGTATATGACGGAAATTTTTCCCAATGATTTCTCCCTCGATTTCTCTTGAAGAAATGATTCAACTTTCTTTTTTTCAATCGATGGATCTTCATGTAACTCATAAACATGTCATAGAAAAACCTTGCGAATTCGATAGAATATTCTATTGAACTAGTAAAAATTCTATAACATTTTGGCCGATTCTAGTGAAGACTTCCGTAACTTTGCTGCCCGTTTTTATAAAAGAAAATGTCCAATAGAAATTACTTTATAGGATAAATTAATAGAATTTTATAGTTTTATGCAATTTTTTCTATTGAAACATTTTTTACGGAAGTACCTGGACATGAATTTTCCACGCTTTTTCTACTTCATTTTTTACTCGTTTCATTGAACAAAATTAAACAGAAAAACCTCGAAAATTTGAGTTGAAAAATTGCTATAGAAAATATCCCAATAGAGTAAATTGTACAGAAAAATCGAATTCTATCGATTTTTTTCTGTAGAATATTTTCCACTGAAAGTTTCTGTAGAAAACAAAGCGCATAGATAAACTGTAGAATTTTTCAATAGAAATCCAATAGAATTTGCTAGAGAATTCGTTGGATTTTTCTGTGAAATTTGTTCCTCAGTGTAGTATTGGGTGAAACGAAGATGAGAAAACAATATTCCAAAAATATCAAGACCCCCTGTGGCTCGTATTCATCAATTCATTTTACCTCAATAAAACCACTCAAAGGGAAATCTTTCCTCAACGGATGTCCCTCGAAACCATAGTCAGTCAGGATTCGCCTCAAGTCTGGATGATCACTGAAAAAGATTCCGAACATGTCCCAGACTTCTCTCTCGTACCAATTAGCTGATTTGAAAATTGAACAAACAGAATCCACTGGTGTCAACTCATCAGTGTAGGATTTCACACGAATTCTACTGTTGAATCTGATGGACAGGAGACAGTAGACCAACTAAAACAAAAAAATATTATTTTGTCAATTGAAAGAATTGAGTATTTCGGGAAGATCATGATGTTTGTTCAAAATAGAGATCAATTTTTCCTCAAAATATTGTCCAAATACTCTTGGGCCATACGTTAAGTATTTAGTATCCATTTTCAGGGTTACGAGTGCACTCTATTTTTTGCTTCCGGATGGAAGCATTGTAATCGTTCAAATTAAAGTTTTGGATCTTTTGTGTTATATCGACCCATTATAATCCAAAAAGTCCGAAAATGCAGTCCGAAAAAGTTCGAAAATTTTAGACCGTTGTACGTACGTACGTATGTATGTATGTATGTGTCTGGTAAAATTTTTCTTCAATTGTTCGCTAATGAATGGATGATGAAATTGAATGTTTTTTTTCAAATGTAAGTATTGTTGAATCCTATCTGTCGCCATTAATTAATATTTAATGCATTGATTTTTTTCAATTTTTGAATTTTTTCAAAAATTGGTTGTCCTACGATAACTAAAAGAAGAATGTTCTGAATTGATCGCATGATGGCTTAAAAATTCATTTGAATGTTTCTTTGACCGAGTTCGAAGGTGAAGGCGATAGCAATAATCGTTATTCTGATTTATTCGAAAATTTTCAAAAATTTCGTAGTTATGGAAAATGAGAATTCCGGGGATATCTTTGTCATCAATATCATGTTTTAAATGAATTCAATCATAGCTTAAAATGTTTATTTTAATGCCATTAATGATTGTTGAAAATTTTGAATTTTTCATGAATCTCTCTGAAAGTGAGTATTTTGATGGTTTCCTGAAATGTGATGTTTCAAATTCGCTTAAGTATGTGTAAGTAAAATTTTTCTATTAACATTTTATCGACGCGCTGAGGGGAGAGATGGACCTGTAAAAAATACAATCGATTGTATAGAAGAAAAGGGATGATGAGAATAATGATGCTGATAACATTCAACTAAGTTGAAAATCTAACAAAATTAGGTAAAAAGAAATCTTATTCAATTTAATAAAATGAAATGAACAATGAATTATACATGATTGATTTTGGAGATCACCCCAACGAACCTCGAATCTGTAGGCCCTTCCGGGCACATCGACAGCCGTGACATCCACGAGCTGAGTGAACTGGGCATTGTGATGATCTCGAAGGAAAGTTAGAGTGGGTCTGATCCCCTCAGGAGCTATCAGAATCTCCAATTCATCCCCAGCGGCAATCTGCACCTTCTGGACGTATTTTGGGAGACAATCAGCCACGTAGCGACCGAAATCCTTTACTTGATCAAGATTGTGAATTGTCGGTTTTCGAATAGTAGCTGTAAACAATTTAAAAACGATTGAAATTGAAGCTTCGTGGTTATTTGCTGCAATCAGTCATTCAGCTGATGGACTTTTCATTGTCATCATCAATTCAAACAAGGTTAAATCCCTATAATTTTATTGAATCACGTATGAAAGTAATTCAATAGCGAAACCTAGCGTTTGCTCTAAATAATTCTATTAGAATTGTACTGAAAGATTATATTTTTTTTTGGCGTTGAATTTATTGAAAATTAAGCAACGTCCCCCTGCGTTTTGAAATAGAATATTTGTTTATAGAAAAATGTCTATAGATGTTGATTTGCTATATAACTTATTCTGTTGGGATTTTTGCTTCCGAATGGAAGCATTGTAGTTCGTTCAAATTCAAGTTTTAGATGTTTTGTGTTATATCGACCCATTATGATCAAAAAAGTCCGAAAATGTAATTTGTAGACCGTGTTCAAACTTCGTAAACAGAATACATAGAATGCAAGTTCAGGGTGTTCACGAACTTTAGTGCTCGACTGTTTGTATGTGTGGTAAAGTGTTTCTTCGATTGTTCGCTAATGAATGGATGGAATTGAATCTTTTTTTCTTCAAATGTAGGTATTGTTGAGCCCATATTGATGATGGCCATTAATTAAAGTTTAATTCATCGATTCGTTTTTTGAATTTTTGAATTTTTTCGAAAATCAGTTATCCCCCGATAACTAAAAAAAAATGTTCTGAATTGATTGAATGATGGCTAGAAAAATTTGTTAGGATGTCACTTTGACCGAGTTCGAAGATGAGGGCAATGGTAATAATCATTATTTTTATTTATTCGAAAAGTTTCAAAAAATTGTATTTTTCGAAAATCAGAATTCCAAGGATACCTTTGAATATCATGCTTCAAATGAATTTAATCATAGCTTAAAATATTTGTTTTAATGCCATTAAGTCGAAGTTAAAATATGATTACGATAGGTATATTGGTTGATTTGATTTTTATGATAATTGTTGAAAATTTGGAATTTTTCATGAATTTCCCTGAACGTGAGCTTTCTGATGGGTGCTTCAAATGTGATGTTTTAAATTCATTCAAGTATGTGTAAATAAAATTTTTTTGTCAACATTTTATCAAAGGGCTGAGAGGGAGATAGAAGTTGAGAAAGACAATCGATTGTATAAAAGAAAAGGGGTAATAAGAATAATGATGGTGATTGAAAATCTGACAAAATTAGGTAAAAGGAGATTTCATTCAATTTGAAAAAATGGAATAAAAAATGAATTATATATGATAGAAGAAAATGATGTGCAAAATAAACATTTAGAAGCATATTGGTAATTTATTAGCAAAAATAAATATACTATATACAATACAAGAGCAATTTTCCATTTGTTTCTATAAGAATTCTTGGGCATGATTTTTCTAAGTTTTTTTCTTGGATTAAATTATGAGAAACAAATAAAGATACAGCAAAAAAAAATTTAAATTTACGCCCAAGAATTTTTAGAGCAAATTCTAAATCTACTTACGTTTTCTGTCAAATAACGCATATTAACATAATGACACGGTAACGTTGCATAATCTCCTAAAGAAATGGCCCAAAAAAACAAATGAAATTTCTCAATAGAAGTTTGATTAAACTTCAAGAGAATTCTTATAGAGTTCCAACAGAAATTTGATGGAATTTATTAGAGGAAGCGCTAGAGTTTTCTATCGAACATGACCAAGAATTGTTATGGAAAAAATCCCGACACAATAAGTTTTCCAGAAAAATCAAGATTCATAAACTTTTTTATTTTTTCATCTAGTAAAAAACGCGGGGAGGCGTTGTATAATGTATAATAGAATTGACACAAAAAACAAATAGAATTAAAAAAAGAATAGAATGAATGGAATGGTTTTTGCTATTAAATTTTTTCGTGCGTGACATTCCCTTCTATCAAACAGAGCCCTCAATTTAAAATTCAAGAAATAGTCTATTTAATGTTTAGATAAATTTTAATTATCATGCTAGATCTCACGTCTTGCTTCTTCGGTGTTTTCTGGAGTTCCTTGAGCACTTCTGAATGTTGAAGCAACCGAAACATAACCTACAAGCACCAACAAAGTGTCAGTTACATAATTAATATTAGAGGCAGCTTTCCAATATTTGATATAAAATTATGGAATTTACGTTTTGGTATCGATTGCAGAGTAATTTTCACAGCATTACGCGCACTGTTTAGAATTATTGAAGCCATAATTAGATTTTTTGTGTTTTTGGGGTGTCACACAACCCAAGGAAATTTGCCAGACTCCCAATGGTGACGTCTGAAAAAGGAGGTGGGGACTACTCTATCAACGATCGGTAACAAATTTTACCAGGACGAGATTTTGGATTTACTCGCGTGAAATGCCCTAGCAGTTGGCGGTTCACTAAGGTATGATACAGAGAGGTATGGTGAAGCTTTGATGTCGCCGACACCGAAAGAGGGGACAAGTTCCAACGGAAGCCGCGCGCGGCGCTGTTGCGTCCCTTCTCCTCACGCGGATTAGATCTCCCACCACACGCCGATTTTACTTGCGTCGCGAGTTCAAATCCCCGTCAAATCAATTTTTTTTTTTTCATGAGAGAGAAATAGTATATTTCGTAACGAGTGCAAAAAAGTGGTTTTTGGCGAGTGGTTTATAAGACGGGCCGAAGGTGAGTGATATAATTTCACGAGCCAAAAACCACTTTTTTCACGAGTTATGAACAAAATTTTTCATCACAATGTGTCGGAAAGTTACTTCTCCGCTACAGCGTGATGAAAATAAAATTTTGTGTTCAATCGAGAGGAACAGGATTAAAAAATGTTGAGATGAAAACTATATGATTCTCAGCAAATAGTTCTATGGGATCGAGCGATAAAGATTGACTGAGAGTCGTGTCGACTAGACGATTGAAATACTAATTAGAAGGAAGAATAATTAACATCAGAAGTCCATTTAATTAATTATTCCTCTTCTCTTCAGTGAAGCTTAATAGGGAAGAATTTGGAGGGATGGGATTACGATAATGAGGATCCCAGTTTGAACTATGTTTTTTAATGTTTTCTTCTATGAACAAGTTTTGAAAAAGATACGAGGGTCATAATGGCCACGAGGGGTGAAATAAATGAGGTACAAGGGTTTTCAAGAGCCACAAAAGAAAAAAAAAGTCCCAACTATTCACTAACGCACCTCACACAAATAACAATCGTTCTTTGACACTTGATCACTCGATAGCAAAATCACCGCTTTTTTCCAGCCATTGTCGTCGCTTCTCAATTTTTTTCACACTGGGAAGGGAGAAAGAACGATAATTATCCCTAGAAGATGCTTTGCAATTTATAATTGCACACGATTTAATCATTTTACATGAATCAACTCGCACAGACTGTTCAGATCTATTGGAGTACGTTTTGGAGCAGACATAAACAAACAACATTCGCGAGATATTTTCGCGCGAAAAATAAATATTGTTCAACATTGGACAAAAATGCATTTTCATTTTATTTTTAATGCTATTATATTGAGCAGTGATTTCACTCTCAATCTTGGTAATTATTTTCAGTAAAAAAAGAAAGAATTCACCTATTATAAGATAAAAATCACCCCATTAATGAAAGAGTGAGCGGGCCATTGACTATTAAAGAAATAGTACATGAAAAACCAAGAATATATTTGCATTTTTTTATTTTTCTTCGCATTGTACATGTAATTTCATACGGGGCTAATGATTTTGACTTAAAATATCAATTTCATAACGTTCCCTCCAGCGAAAAAAGTGCCAGTGGTGGGAGACTAAAGGAGATGAGGGGAAGCGTAAGTCGACCGGAACGCCGCTTCTGGCGCTCCGGCGAACTTGTCCCCTGTTTTCTGGCTTCATCATACCTGCTTGTATCATACCTTAGCGGTTCACGTATGACAAAATTCAATAGAAAGCTTATCGAATTCTATTGGAATTCTCTACAAATTCTGTGGGGATTCTATTAAAATTGTAGAGAATTCTCGTTAAAATTCTATTTGTTTTTCGCGCTGATACTATGAGATATTTGCTCGGAAAAAGCCAATAGATTTCGATTTTTCTACATGATGAATGAATATTTTCTTCCAATTTTTTCTAAAAAGAGCAAATATTTGAATGATTCTATCCCATATAAGCGCATGTGAGCGCATGCATTTGATGCATTTTGTCTATTTCATTTCTAAACAATGAACATGGGTTATGGTAGATCAAAATTTATATCAAAGTGAAGGGAATGTCTTCATCTATCAGTTTAAAAAAAAAACACTTTTTTTTTAAATACGTGCGATTTTGGATAAACATCCTTTAAAAAAACCTCAAAAGAAACATTCAAACAGAACAATCGAAATCTATTTACTTTTTCCTGTCAAATATCTCAGAATCTGCACAAAAAACAAATCGAAATTTAACGAGAATTCTCCAGAACTTTAATAGAATCCTCATAGTATTTCTAGAGAATTCCAATAGAATTTTCCAGCGAATTCGCTAAGGTTTTCTATTGAATTTTTTCATAGGGGTGAGTAGGGCAAAACGGGCCCCTAGGGCAAAACGGATCACTGACCGAAAATTGGTAATTTTTTTTTTCTTTCCTTCAAATCAGGAACACTGAATGTGTTGAATTAAAAGTGAGTTTCTTGGATCATAAGCGTCACAGGGGTTTTATAGACAAGTGTCGGTGAACAGCAATTTGATCAGATTTGCTAATCACCTCAAACCACAAATGACTTCGAATTTGTTCCATTCGGAAGCAAAAACAAAAATTACCAATTTTCTGTCGGTGGTCCGTTTTGCCCTAGGGGTCCGTTTTACCCTACCCTCCCCTACATATGGGGGGGGCGATTTCGATTTTTTAACAAGGCCAACCAGACCTGCACCAAGAGAAATCATAATTCGTTCATTCATTCATTCATTCATTCATTC